ATTTGAATGTAGCAGAACAAAATTGTTCCGACTGGAATCAGTAATTCAAAAATAAGCATTCCGGCGATATGTATACAATTGTTGACGTTGCGTGTAAGATAGTAAAAAGAGCAAGATGTCTGTAGTCCATCCGGGATATAGCGACCTACATACCGAATAAAAAAAGTGAAAGTGGTTGTATTGCGTTAGTTTACAAGTTTTTCTTTATATAGCTACGTAAAAATTAGTAAATAAGAAATATCCTTTTAGGGATAACCCTAAGTTTCGGATTGGTTTCTGTTATGCTCTGCATTTGTCACAATGACAGCAACACTAGCCTAGCTACCTCGTTCCAGGATAGCATAGAAGCCGAGAAAGCTGTTTATCCCACTTGTAATGTGAGCGGAAACTTTGACTCCGATGCACCTTCGTTGGATGCCTCCCTGCCAGCTGCAAGGCTACTGTTCCACTGTTGCTGTCACACATTTGCTACATAGGTAAACTGCACTCTCATCGAATTTCAATTCAAAAGCGCTGCTACAAATTTGGTCATATTCCTCCCCATAAAAATCATTCACCGAAAGTGTTAACTCACCACATATTACACAATGTTGTTTTAATGGCGCAGATCCTAGATAGCAATGGTGTGCTTGAGTATTGACGAAGTGTTCAGTGTTCCAGACCAGTGCTTCTTCCCTTCCTACCGCGGACATCTTCCCGCTCTTGTTGTACGTTTGTCGAGCGTCCTTTACACCTTCAGCACCTTACCCTCGGTTGTAGACAGCGCTATAATCCCCATCAGTAATTCAGTGACACGGCATAACGATCTCGAACACCATATAAATCACTTGTGCATTACCTCGTTATTGCCGATGTTATACATAATGTACGCTACTCTACCCACTTATTTACGGTAAAATCGATTGCATACGTGATATCCGTACCTTCTTACTATATCAAAGCATGCGCGCATGGTATGGTGTTTAACTCTCCTGTCCAGTGTTAAATAATCAGAAGACTACTTCAGTTGGTGTATTCCACGGTGTGTTCTACCCTCGAATTCTTCCATCGCTGGAAATTTATCAACATCGACTCATTTGTTGATATTTAAATGTACATGCTGATCATCACTTTTGGTTTTTTTATATTATAGCGTTGCAAAATGCACAAAAGGGATGACGGCTTAATTTTGTATGTTAGCAAAATGTTCCAATTCTGCTGCAATCAGATTAAATCAGGCTTTCTAGCTTATTATGACGATTTAACTGCGCAGCCATTTCGCCAACGCATCACGGCGCCTTTGGAGGCCAGGCCAGTGACGAGACAGAGAATTAGGTTGCAAAGTTTCAATTCCAAGGTGAATCAAATTAAATGCCAAGGTCATGATATCTTCACTAACCGGGTTACCTCATGTTATCTAAGATGCCAATACGCTTGTTGAATGCTGCATTGCCTCTGCCACCGCATATAGAGAGGCAATCGTGTCTTGCTAGTAGAATACAGTAGACAAGATATGTACGTATAATATAGAGGCCACACGGACCGACAAACTATTCGTAATGAAGGACATCAAATAACATTATGGCTGTTTTCGTCGTTCCGCACAGATGAGGAAGAAAATAAACGCTAGACTCTCTCTTGATCACTCAATTTTACGCGTTAGCGCCTGTGCATTTTCCAGAAAAAACTTTCTTTTGGTTCACAGAAAGTGACAAATAAAAAAGGGTACTTATTTTCAGTACCAATATCCAACTGTTTATCGGTTTCAGTAGGCTATACCCCAAGCAATCTCAAAGGAGATTGCTATTAAAAAAACCACGACCGTATAATTTGTGCTCGTTTAATCCAAACAGATGTATCGGCAGTTTTGGTATAGAGCGCAGTTTTCAGGTGCATAACTTTGCATCGAAAATGTGTTGGCAGAATTTTAGAACGTCAATAATGTCGTTGCCCTACTCTGCCGCCAACCCGCATATCAGTCTCGCCTAGAAAGCCCACATGTCAGTCAGCCAATAAGGATCCGCCGAGTTCGGTGCGATCAGTATCCACCTATACCTGAACGTCCGCCCACGTGGACCCTTGCAGATGCAGTAGTAGGAAAGCACAAAATGCAGATGGAAGGATTGAAAGACAATATATACTCTCAGTCACTGTCAAAGTAAAGCAATTTTCAGCTATCAAGTCTATGTCCTGTTCTTCGGAGAAACTGGCGTCATGGTAATTGGGGATATAGCTGTATCTCAAAACAAACTAATTTGTGTTATAGTATACAAGAACTTACCAAAATCGTAGAAGGGTGGAGAGCTCCAAATAAGGGACCAACACCATGCGACTGCAATCATCAATAAGGCACGTCGGTGGCTCATTCTTGATTTAAATGGCAGAACAATAATTAAATATCGATCGACTGAAAGCCTCACCGCGGTATTGAGAGAAGCGAACCCAAATACACATTGCAAGAAGCCATAGATCTCACAACCTGATGATAGACAAATATTTCGGTGGAGTTATTAGTGTTTATACTAGTGTAATCGTAGTTATACAAGCGGAAACTGTACTAAAGAGTCCTGAATTGCACTTTTCTAAAGCATTGCCAAGCCGGCATAATTTTAGGCATGCAGGTTATTAACACATTCCAGACATCTAATTATTGACAACTGAGACTTACTTTAAAGGCGCAACTCCAGGTCATAATGTAAACTCATTATTCTAATTGACTTGTTAGTCAAATATATTTAAAGTACTTAATTATTATAAAATGCGCAATCATTTCCAGGGTAATTCTCCCACTTACAGCATGTTCAAATGAGAAAATATCGTTTTTAAACATTTCCCAGTTACCTTTGTCTGTTAAACGGGAACGGAAAAACTACTCTGTGCCAGAAGTAGACAACATAGGCGACCAGATGGAAGGTTATAGTTCAAAAAGGGGTGTTTTTTCGGAACGAATATGTGTCTCCTTAAGTTTGCCTCTAAATTATTCCGAGCGCCCTACTTTATTTATCATTTGTCCTTCACATTAACTGATTTCCAACTACAACTACACATGCAATTGCGTTTGTTATAGTTTAGTATATAAGACATCACTAGCCAGCAATATCCAACTGCAAGTTTGCGTAAAATTTGAGACCATTTATTTTTCGTTTAGTCTCCCCTTCCGATCAATGTTTTTTAATACTTCATGGTAGGACGCACGCTCTTGTTTCCATGGATGTATTTTTCGCTTACATACATGCAATTATGTTATGTACTATTCAACTGACTGACATGGACAGTAGCTGGTGTCCGACAATGGAAGTAGATATTAAGGTCGGTGGCTCAGAATATTCTACTTACTATAAGCAATTTGACGCCGGTTCCGTGTGGGGAAGAAAGAGCCGGTTAGTTAGGTGCCTTGAAAATTTGACTTCGTTATGATCTAGTTCATTTGAGAATCAATTTCGTTGTGGACAGGTTTTAGGTCTCACCAAAGCCGATAGACCAGGATCATCACGATCTTAAATGAAGGGGGACGTTTGTAATATTGCATATAAACTGACCCTCTATTAGTTTTGATTGCCATTGTTTTCGGCTGAACTCCTACAACATTTTGATGGATTATTGTTTTAAAATTGGGCAGAGTGTAGACATTTCGGAGAAGCACATTGCATTTTAGTTTTTAAATAAAACTTCAAATAATAACGGTGAAACAGTTTTGGCCGATTAAGGTTCATGTTTGAAAAGATGGCTCGTGACGAGTTGATATGTTTGATTTATTATAATGCGTGACAGATTTAATCGCCAGAGTTCTGGGTTTACCTTAACCTGTCGTAATAGTGGTCAAATTTGGAAATAGGGCTGGTGTGTGCATTCAAGCCACCATAGAAATTGAAATGACTATCAAACTACGAAAATCTCACAACATATTGCCATACATTTTCATGCTTCGTCGAAATCCGAAATTCGTAAAAATGAAATCCTTTATCTTGGTAAACCAAAGCAAATGCCATATCTGCCTTGGGTATGTAAAAGACATACAAAAACATGTACTGTAGCTCACTTCGTTTCCCCCAGTACCAGTATCCGTAGAAGCTAGAAATTTTCTTAAGTTGGGCGGTGACGGCAAAAGCCATGTCAGATATGGCCATGTTGACTATAAAAATTTTTGCGGTGGTTCGCAGAGATTTAGAGCTTAAGATAAAATACAAGGTTATCTTATATACTTGCACAATTGTAGAAGGCTTAAGACAAGTACTGTCTTCTTTGGATGCATTTGTATACAGCTGTTCTATAACAGAATATTGCTTTGATTTTTCATTTTAACAATTTCTCGGTGATTCTTTATTGCAAATGCTCTGAAGAAGAATAAAAATTACTGGTTTCTCCTAATAATCATTATTGCCGTAAAAGATATTCATAAAATTGTCCGGTTCTGCTTACGAATCATCAGAGGAGCCTTGCGTAAAAATGTGTATGCCACATTAAAGCACACGCTTCTTCTCATGACTGCTGTTCGTACCCCCATACAGTTTGTCCTCTCATTCGCACCCTTATTTAGTAAATACCTTTGCAATGCAGCGACCGATCCCGAGTAATACAGTAGTCGCCGGTTATTTAGCCCATGGCTAATAGGCCAGCCGCGTATTAAACCCAAATCAGCTTGGGACGGAATTTTACATAGAAAAATCTGCCAGCTAATAAGCCCAGTCACCGGCTACAAAGCCCAGTTT